AAGAAGTGGTTTAAATGTGACAACATTAGGACCCCAAGTTGCTAGTGTGGATGCAATCAAGTCCTAAGTCATAGTTTTGCAATAGTCATTAACACCCCAGTTTTAGTGATTCTCACTTTTAGACATCACACAATAAATTTTAATTTTATTTTTCTTTCTATATATATTAAAGATAACCTGAAAAGGTAAAAAACCAACATATGATTGAATTACGTAAATTTTGAGATATTCTTGAAATCTAAGTCTACTTGTTTATGAAAAGATTGTTGTTCTAATTCCTTTTCTTATTATTCAAAATAATTCAAAGTATCAGATAAGAAATTATTGATGATTAGGTGATGCGAAAATATTTTAATTCATGAAAATCACTTTTAAACTTAATTAAAAGAAAGTGAATATGTTAAAATTAAATAAAAAAATTTTCTTCAATCTTTATTTTTCATATAAATAAATACTTATTGATAATTATTCGATGTGCAAACATTGAAATAAATCTTTTTCACTTCATTAAAAACAATTATTTAATCTATGATCTAAAGTAAATAACTTTCATATTCATTTAAAACTTTCAACTCCTTAAAAGTTCATATAAAATAAATACATAAATGCTGAAAATCAATTTGAAATTATATACAAGGCTTTCAGTGAAGATTATGGAATCAAGAATATATATAAATTAAGTAAAATTTAAGCGCAACTTTATTCAAAAAAGTGTGGTAATGAGACTTTTTTTGGAGATTTTTGAACATTCTCTAGCAATACATTAATTCTTAAAATCAAGTCTTCCTCCACTCTATTGAATAAAAGTTTCATTTTTAATTTTGAAGTATATATTTGATATTTTTGTATTTTAAAATAGATAGTTGGAATGAATAAAAAAAGAATGCTTTTAATATACTTTGACGGTAAATTAAATAAAGATTTAAAAAATAAAATAAGATTATCAATTATGATGTGATAATTTTAGTGACTTTTATTATGAAAAAAATGTTACTTTTGATATTTAAATGATTCACTCCTCAAAAAATATTTTCATAACAATATCAAATTTAAACAGGGGGGGAGGAGAATATGTAAAATAATGAAAAATTGAGGAATCATGAGGGATAAATAAATTTAAAATTGAAATATTGTAATGCTCAAAAGGATGTTGTATTGTTAGGATGATATAATGCTATGTGACTTTTGGATTCATGTTAAATCATTTTGGTAAACTCCAAGTGAGTTCGATGGGTGGAAATAGATGATACCAAAAACACTCTCTTCAAGTGTATGCGCTGGTCTTATTCTAGCTGGAGGATACCTTAACTTAAGATCAAATTAAACGATTAATTATACAATTTTTAATTTATCTTCCCATTTTAATTTTTAAGTAGAATTCAAACTTTGGTTGTTTGGCATTTTGGAGGATGATTAATTTATTCTTAAGCTTGACGATTATGAATTGTTAAAAGTACAATTAAATTAACCAACCCATTATATAAACTGTGGAGGGATTAAATAACATATTAGCTTAATAAATCTTAGAGCTTAAATGAATAATTCTTAATCATTAATGAAGTTTATTTTAAAACTCAATCTAATTCAACTTTAACTAAATATTGGGAATTAATGCATTTGATTTGTATATCGGAAAATGTTCTAATAATTGTGAAAAATGCTACGGACTTGGGTATAAATAATGTACTGCTTGTATTAAAGATTGGGTAATTTTTAAAGGAGAATGTATTTACTATAATGAAATTACCCCCTTAATTTGCGACCATATTAGCATAGTTTAATAACTATAAAATATTTCAAATAATATTCATTAAATATAATTATAAAGTGATTAAATAGATTAAGAAACCCTATAATTAGGAGAAAATGAAATCCAATTTGATTTAAACATATACATATTAAACTTAGAAATTCAAGCCTAATGCCAAAAAAATCTAAGTGTAAATAACTCCATTCAAATTTATATTAAATGCAATAATTAGCAGTAATATACTTTTACTTTTAGTTGCCAGGAGAATTTACCAAAAATTATTCTTAAGACAAATTTACTTTAAAAGTTTGAATAAACTAAATAACTCTTACAGAAAAATATTTACTTATCAAAAAATATTTTAGGTTTTAAATAAAATTTTCTATGCTTAATTTAAATTAAAAAAATGTTGCATTATATCAATTAATTTTCTTATATATGAGGAATTACTTAATTTTCAAGCCTTCATGAACAAAAATGATCTAGATACATAATTATCCAAAAACCTGAAAATGTTTTTAAGTTTTGTTTCAAATCTCATAAAGAATATTTCTTTAAATCATTTAGCCAATCAGGCATTTAATTATTAAAATTCCTAAAATTCAATTTAAATTTTTAATGATATATCAATCTTTTTCTTTTTTCCGCTTTCTAGGGAGAACTAATCAATAATGTGTTTCAATCTTTGATTAAGATTTATTATTAATCCTTAGGTAGAGATCTAATGATTATATATTCAGTCAGTAATTTTTTGTTTCAATATCAGTTTCCTCTTTCACATATTTATCTAGAGCTTAATTGTCTTAAAACAGCACAAAATAATGTTGTTAAACATGATTAAAAATCTACTAATCCCAACACTATGCACATTTTTTCCAACTATATATCCATACTCTATGTTACAATTTACTAAAATTTATCTCCTTAGTGAAATTTTTTATGATTATATGTCCTTACCATCTGCATTTTATTATTTTACCATGACCCTTTATAAATTCTATCATCTGACCAATAATATTCTCCCTAATTAAATCAACATAATAATCATTACATATCCATTTATCTTATTTTCAAACCAATCTCCTTCAAAATAACTCCCACTTTGCCGCATATACTTTCCTTTCCCTAATTTTTTACCCTCAAAATGATCCCCTTTATAACTAGATAAATCAGACCCTAAATTTATTAATTTAAATTTATTACATTTCTCCTCTCTTTTTCCATGTTATTAATCATTTCGCCAATATCCTTCATATACAGCTCCATTGCTTTATCTATAAACTCCATAACCATTAACTATATCATCTGCCCATTCTCCAATATAAGAATCACCATCTACATGATAGAAACTACCTTTTCCACAGGCTTTATTATCAACCCATTCTCCATCATATCTAGCTCCATCAGGCCAAATTTAAACACCTTTTCCATCTCTTTTATTTCCCACCCATTCTCCTTCATAAGTGGCACCATTTTTAAATACAAAAAGTGGTCGTTTCTCCCTAGATTAAACATTATTTGCATTATTCACTATTATTTTAATAATTTCTAATAATACTTCCAAATTCTAATGAGTTAAATATTTCTTTTTATACTTACTGGCTACTGTAGCTTAATTATTTTATTATTATTATTATTGTTTTTGATTTGCTTTTTTTGACTATGATAATGATTTTTTGACTTCCTTATAACTTTCTCTAGATTTATGAGCTTTTCCAATTTTTTTATATAACAATTGCCTTATCATTTAGTTTATTCTGTTTATTTTTTCTTTTCTTGATCATCTGAGAATACCGAAAACCTTGCGTTCTTTAATTCTTTAGGAGTGCACTTTGTCTACTTTAAATCATTCTTTCAATAAATTTCAATGTAATTACACCATCGATTAAACTGTTCGATGATTATTGTGAAAAGGATGATACTTTATGACTTTCTGATTTTTTGGTCACTTTTACTTCGTTATTTAATTCATTTTATCTTTTTAAAATTAATTACATTTGAACAATTAGCTCCCATTCTAATTTAACTACTTATAATATAATAATTGTAATATTTCTAAATATAAAATGGAAACACAATAAAAATTAAAAAATCATTATAATACTTATTTTGTCAATAACTCTATACCTAAATCAGTCTTACTCATATCAATCATATTACGATTTCTATTATATTATATCAAAAATATTACTCTATGTAAATTTTAATGGCAGCAATAAATGGTGAGAAAGAGATAATCCATCCAATCAGAACAACATAAATTGAATAATAAGAGAACTTTTTATTTAAGAGATAATTGATATTATTAGTAATACAACAACAGTATAATGACATAATTTTGTTAGTGAAAATTCAACTAACCAAGGTACATGATTACCATCTTTCTCTAAATCTCTCTTAAATTATTCAAATCTCTCCTTTGATCCAAAATAAAATACTTCAAATAACACTCCTAACATAAATGAAAGATTAGTTCCATAAGTATCAACAAAACTTATTAAATAAAATCCAATATCTGTACAATAAATTAAACCTATAATTCCNCCATTCTCCATCATATCTAGCTCCATCAGGCCAAATTTAAACACCTTTTCCATCTCTTTTATTTCCCACCCATTCTCCTTCATAAGTGGCACCACTTTTAAATACAAAAAGTGGTCGTTTCTCCCTAGATTAAACATTATTCGTATTATTCACTATTATTTTAATAATTTCTAATAATACTTCCAAATTCTAATGAGTTAAAGTATTTCTTTTTATCCTTACTGGCTACTGTAGCTTAATCATTTTATTATTATTATTATTATTATTGCTTTTCATTTGCTTTTTATGACTCTGATAATGATTTTTTGACTTCTTTATAACTTTCTCTAGCTTTATGAGCTTTCCAATTTTTCTATATCACAATTGCCTTATCATTTAGTTTATTCTGTTTATTTTTTTCTTTCTCTTGATCATCTGAGAATACCGAAAACTTTGTGTTCTTTTATTCTTTAGGAGTGCACTTTGTCTACTTTAAATCATTCTTTCAATAAATTTCAATTTAATTACACCATCGATTAAACTGTTCGATGATTATTGTGAAAAGGATGATACTTTATGACTTTCTGACTTTTTAGTCACTTCTACTTCGTTATTTAATTCCATTTTATCTTTTTAACATTAATTACAATTTGAACAATTAGCTCCCATTCTAATTTAACTACTTATAATATAATAATTGTAATATTTCTAAATATAAAATGGTTACACAATAAAAATTAAAAAATCATTATTATACTTATTTTGTCAATAACTCTATATCTAAACCAGTCTTACTAATATCAATCATATTACGATTTCTTTTATATTAAGTTAAAAATATTACTCTATGTAAATTTTAATGGCAGCAATAAATGGTGAGAAAGAGATAATCCATCCAATCAGAACAACATAAATTGAATAATAAGAGAACTTTTTATTTAAGAGATAATTGATATTATTAGTAATACAACAACAGTATAATGACATAATTTTGTTAGTGAAAATTCAACTAACCAAGGTACATGATTACCATCTTTCTCTAAATCTCTCTTAAATTATTCAAATCTCTCCTTTGATCCAAAATAAAATACTTCAAATAACACTCCTAACATAAATGAAAGATTAGTTCCATAAGTATCAACAAAACTTATTAAATAAAATCCAATATCTGTACAATAAATTAAACCTATAATTCCTAAAATACTGCAAACATATAATCTAACTTATTAAACAGTTAATTTATTTCCAAAACTTATTACTTCTCCTAAATAAATATCTTCAATTGTTCCTGCAATTCCATTTACAAATCAAAATTAAGTATCAATCCCCAATAATAATAATACTGAAAAGAATAATATATACCAAAAATTTGGAATTGGCATCTAAGCTAAAATTGTTGGATATAAAAAAATGCTGAATACGACCAAATCAACTAACATTCCACATAATGCTGTTAATAATGGAATAGAAAAAGAAAAATTAGGTAAATTGTCCTCTTTTTTTCTATAACTTCCATATAAACAAAGTATAGCTTATCCAACTGACTTTTAAAATATAACCAAATTAGCAGCATCTACCCAAACTGATGGATTAATTAATTTAAAAAAGTCTGGTTTAAATAAATAATAAATTCCATCTATTGAACCTACTTACATTAAACCTCTTATTAATAAAATCCCTTATAAAATATAAGGTGAAGTGGCTGTTACTATAGCTATTTTTCCTGAAGTCTCAACACCTTCTCTAATAATTTTAATGTTAATATATATACTTTATACAAAAGTATACTATTATTAATATACTATATTAGCAATAAACAGACTCCAAATTACATGATCTAATATATTACAAATTTAAATAACTTAAATCTGTAATAGAAGTGGACATCTAAACTATAGAATCATAAAATAATCTCTTGAAAATGGTTTATTCTATTCAACAATACTCTCTAACCATGGAATAGGATATTTAAATGATTCCCATCAGTATCTCAAAGAATATGCCATTATTAGAATCTATTAATTATTATATTATTTACATAATATGAGATATATATGCATTAATTACTATTCCGACATATTCAAATCCTTTTAACTTAGGTTTTTCTAAATCTAATAAATGTGCCATTCCAATCCCTTTAAATTATCATAAACCTACTTCTAAAAAAAAATAATGGAATAGCTAAAGTATAAACCAATATAAAGTATGGTATTAAGAATGTTCCTCCTCCATTCTTAAATACAACTAAACAATAATTTATAATCAAATTTATACGATATGGAAATCTCCAAACACTTCCAAAACCTACCATAAATGTCCATGAACTTGAGAATTTCATTCTGTTTTCCTAATATCCTTCTAAGCTTTGGCTAGATACATTAATATAACTTTAAAGAAATTTTAATTGATTTTTATTATTCAGTTTAATTTATATTATTCAAAGATGTTCTATATTTTATTTTTATGTAATGCTATTTTATATTAAAAAAACAATTTAAGGCAATAAATATTGAATCAATTTTCAGAACTTTATATTTTTTTTTTTTGGATTAAAATCAAATTCTAAATAAAGATTCAATTGATATGTACTTTCTATAATAGATTGTTTAATTCATCTAAAGATTTTATAAAATCCTTAACATATAACTCCTACTCAAAAATAATTGATTATTCTATTGGATTATCTGCATCAGACAGTATATCATAGGATTTACTTTACTTATCACTTGAAGAACAAATTCACTTGAAATTTTTCTATTAAAATTATAAAATTAATATTTAGATTTGTTTATATTTATAAAATCTGAATTTCCTATATCAATTAGATATAAAAGGATAAATATAGGATTATTAATCATTTAATATCATTCAACAAAAATGAAATAGAAAATATTTGATATATAACTATTTTAATGAAAAATAATATTAAACAGGTATAATTTTTTAGGATTAATAAATATTTGAATCAAATTAATTATTATAATAATGAAGATATTTTAAATGTTAATTATCTTTTCATATTTTGAGACTCTTTAATTTTTATATATGACTAAGATGAAAAAATTTTATTAAATTTTCAAAACTATCCTAGAAGTGAACAATTAATATACAGATAATAAAGGAATATTCATTTGAATTTAGTCACAATACACTCCCTAAAGTATAATATAATAAGTAGGATATGTTGGATTAATGAATAGTGATTGCTTTCTTTATTTGACTTTAATAGGGTAAGCTTCCACAAATTTGTAACTAATTTCTTATGATTGCCCTCAGACCATCTCAAAGTTATACCTTCAATGCTTATGAAGGATAATAAAATCTGATTAAATTAGATATTGACCCATTAGAATAAATAAACTGGTGGCATTATTTTTCATTAATATATCGACCATCAATTAGAAAAATGGAATATTTAATAGTTAAAGGAGATCAACTATTACTTTATTATAAAATGAATGCAGATTTATTCACTAGAGAAAATTTAATTATGATCATAGGTAGTGGTCTTATTGTACAAAATTCAAATATTGAATCAATAGAAAATGAATCGAAATTTTCATATTTCCAGGAAGTATATATTAAGTAACAAGAAGACACAACCAATTCTATTAATACAATCATTAAGCTATTTTAATAATCCCAACTAACAAGCTCATTAATTTAATTTCAATCTAATTCAAATAAACTTGTTTTTCATATTAATAAATGATTATTTCAAAAAATAATTGTTCTTTTTGTTTAATGGATTGATGTTTTTGGATTTTTAAACTTTTAATAACTTAAGATTATGAATCTTTTTAGTTATTCTAATTACATTAAACAATATGAATGTATAATAATTGTAACAGCTAATTAAATCAATTAGAATATCTAAATTTTGAATTCGTATTTCCTTTATAATAATTGTAGTTCATGTGTTGCTATAATTCAACCAATATGTCTATGAAGATTCTTTAGTGTAAAATATTGTATAATATTGCCAATTATTAAGGAGGAGGTTTATTTTTAGATATGAACAAAAAAAAATTGTAGATAAAACAATCAAAAATTATGAATAATATAGCATAAGAAGGAAGTGGAATATATATATTAAAAAATGGTAATATCAATTAAGATAATTTAATTACATCCTTCTTGAATTTTAACAAAGCAATCAATTTTGCAGATAATTTGGTTGATTCCCCAACTCATTTAATTTTGATGATCAATTCTTCAGAAATGGAATCAGAAGAACTTAGTATTAATAATATTTCAATAAGAAGATTAAATGCCTCATTAAATATTTGAATAAGGGTAAATGACTTAATACTTAACTGTACCAAGTAATTAATTAATAAAAGATTACAGAATTTACATCCTATAATCTTAAAAGCATATAAGGATATTTAATGAATTATCAACATCATTAAAAAATAGCAGAAATGAATTATTACTTAACTTTTAACAATTCGTTTGCTAAGTATCATAAAATACTGTTAAATTAAATTAATTGTCCACATAAACTAAACAAAAAGTTTAATTTATTCCACAGGTTGTTAAATATTATTAAAAAATAATACGGATAAAGATTTTATAATTTTTGATAAAGATCAATATAAGTTCTATAAGATTTCTTCTTAACTGTCTAAAAAATTACTTCCTCTTTATTTGAATAAATATCGAAAATCCAAACCAAATTGATTTTCAAAATATCCTTTGTAAATTTAAGCCCCTTAAGCTTAAAATATTCGTTAATTTGATATGAGGAATACAGTTATATTTTCAACTAAATAAATTATATAAATACTGCATTGTAATTAGGGATTATTCAAAAATTGAGAAGTGTTAACTTTAGAAAATTACTCTTCATAACTCTAGTTGGATATTGAAAATTTTTATCCTGTTTTTACATCCCATAAACGGATAGAAATATCATTACTACCAGATGCTAATCTAGCACCGTCTGGAGAAAAACAAACGGAATTGACACTTCTACTATGACCATCTAATTTGGCTTTTTATTATTCTGTTTTTATATCCCAAAATCGAATAGACATATCTAGGCTACCAGATGCTAATGTAGAACCATCAGGGGAGAAACATATCGATTGAACAGAATTAGTATGACCCTCAAATTTTGCCTTTTAATTTCCAGTTTTAACATCCCATAAGCAGATAGACGAATCTCTACTGCATGATGCTAATGTATAACCATCAGGGGAGAAGCATACTGAATTGATACCTCTACTATGACCATCCAATTTTGCTCTTGTATATCTTGACCACAGATCCCATAAACGAATAGATGCATCTAAACTACCAGATGCTAATGTAGAACCATCAGGGGAGAAGCATATCGATTGAACAGAACTAGTATGACCCTGAAATTTTGCCTTTTATTATCCAGTTTTAACATCCCATAAATATATAGAGTTATCCCAACTACCAGATGCTATAGAAGTACCATCAGGATAGAAGCATAATGATTCAACAGAATAAGTATGACCATCTAATTTTGCTAATTATCTTCTTGTATTAGCATCCCATAAAAGGATAGAGCCATCACCACAACCAGATGCTAAACAAGTACCATCAGGAGAGAAACATACAGAGTTGACAGAACTAGTAGATATATTTAATATTGCTTTTTATTTTCCTGTATTAATATCCCACAAACGTATAGAGTTATCACAACTAGCAGATGCTAATGTACTACTATCTGGAGAGAAGCATATTGATAGGACAGAATCAGAATGACGATTTAATTTTGCTTTTTATTTCGTTGTGTTAATATCCCACAAACGTATAGAGTGGTCTGCACTACCAGATGCTAACTTACCATCATAAATGAAGCATACAGTTTGAACAAATCTTGTATGACCATCTAATTTTGCCTTTTATTTTCCTGTGTTAACATCCCATAAATATATAGAGTTATCCCAACCTCCAGATGCTATAGTAGTACTATCAGGAGAGAAGCATATTGATAATATTCCGGAGCCATAACAATTGAATATTCGTTTTTGTAGATCATTTTTAAGTTCCCATAAACAAATAAAATGTTCTCCTTTAATAGAACCTAATAGAGTTCCATCAGGAGAAAAGCAGACAGAATGAATTGAAACAGGAGGACCTTCTAATTTTGCTTTTTTTATACCTGTCATAACATCCCATAAATATATTATCCCATCACTACTACTAGATGCTAATTTTGTAACATCAGAAGAGAAACTTACTGATAGGACTTCATTATCATGACCACGCATTATCAATTTTATTTTTCTTGTATTAGTATCCCATAAGTATATAGATGTATCAGCACCACCAGAAGCTAATGTTGTACCAATAGAAGAGAAGCATATTGAGTTAATAGGCATTGAACTACGACTAACTAATTTTGTTTTTTTTATACTAGTCCCAACATCCCATAAATATAGAGCCCCATCATTACTACTAGATGCTAATGTTTTACCATCAGAAGAGAAGCTTACTGATAAGACCTAATTTTTATGACCATTTAATTTAATTTTTTATAGTCCAGTTTTAACATCCCATAAACAAACAGAAAAATCTGAACTACCTGACGCTAATATCGTACCATCAGGAGAGACACAAACTGAATTAACACTATCTTTATGTCCATCTATTTTAATTGTTTCATGAATTATTATTTACTTCCATTTACAATTATATAATAATGCCCCATTCAAATTTATTCCGCTGATGTCTACATTCTCAAATTAAGATTCATTCAAATTGCATCTGAAAAAATTGGCTCCTATCAACTTGGTATTTCTTATCTTAATACCTTCAAAACATTAATTTTTTAGATCAATCTTCATTTTTACTAATAAGTGAAGTGAATTAGATCCGCATTATATGAATTAATTATCAATAGATGTGAGCTGAACTAAGAATTTTAAAGATTTGATGATCATCTTATCCATTCTTATTTTCTAAATTAGGTTTTTTTTAGTAAATAAATAAAATTCTTTGGAGTAGTCATTTTTATTAAAGGTATGTTATTTAATTTTTTTGAGAATATTAGTAATTTTCTTTATGCTATTTTTTAGAGAGTCTAGTTTCCATTATTTATCAAAATATTCTAAATTACCACCTTAAAAAATATATTGTTCGTAATGTTTTTAGTTTTCTTCATCTGAAAGATATGCAATAGAGTCAAAGATTTTCTCTCTTCTTAATATTTCAATTATCAAACTGAATATTTCTTCATCAACATGTTTAAATTAAGTGAAAATCTCATATAGGTCTTATTTCTATTAATAATTGACATACATTTTTTTTTTTTTTTAATTTCTATTATTTTTTTTTGGTTGATATTATTAAAGTTAATATTGGAAATCAAATCATATTTGTATTGTTTCGTTCTATATAATATAAAATATAGAATAAATCACTTCATGCGAAAAAAACTGAAATTCAATATTACTTTATTTTTATATAAAAAATTCTTTAACATTAATGAATAAATAAAACAAGCCAAGTTTAACTTGGTTTTAAGATTCAATTTACTAGACAAAAGTTACTTAATGAAATGTCACAAAATATTTTAGAATAAATTTTCAAAAAAAAATTAATACAATTTTGATTGAATAGAATGGTTGGATATAGTTTTATAAAGAGCTCTAAGAATTAATATAAAAAGAAATAGGAAATTCCAAATAACAATAAGAATCTATAGTATATAAATCTAAAAAAAATACTTAATTTTCTAAACATTCTATGAACAAATATATAAAGTAAAAGATTGAAAACAATATTAGGAAAAAGGATAACAATTAATTTTGCTTAATTCTGCATGATTCTATCTTAGTTGGAGAAATGGGTATTTATTGTTTATATATATATTTTTTTGGATATCTGTTTGTAAAAACTGGAATTTAATTAAAAAACAAATATCAAATGAGTTTTAATAAAATATTATAAACTAAATAAGACTTGATTAAAAATTTATCATATTATTTTTATTGGTAACTCTTAGTTTAGATATAAAGAATTACTTTCTTCAACATCTAAATCCTTTTATGAATGCAATTGATAATTAATTATTTCTTATTTAAAAATTATTTTTAAATAGCAAATTGATTGATTTCATTTCTTCTAAGAAATGTTCGAATACGCTCTTTTATAAACAATTAAAGATTTATTATAGTAGGAAATAGCATAACAATAATATATTAATCATAAGCTTCAAAGTACAAAATATTAAGTATATTTTTTGTACTTTAAATAATTGTTGTTAAATTAATTTAATTAAAATCTTCTTTTATTGTTATCTATAATAACATCTATTAAAATTAACAGGTACCTATGACCCAACTCTTATTCATAAATTTATTCTTCTAACTACCATCTCTTTTTAGAAATTCAGTTTCCTTATTTACTATTCGTTTAGCTCAATTATCTTATCCTCATAATTTTATTATCCTATCAACAGCTATATTACTATGTGTTTTTGGTTTCACCTAAACAACTACAGGTTTGTTTTTTTAATTAAGATTGATTTATTTAATTATTTGACTTTTTTATTTAGATTATTAATATTTATATTTCATTTGAGCATCATTTATTTATGGATTAAAAGTAGTTTATTCTTTCAGATTTGTCAAAATATTTTTATTTCTTTTTAATTTAAATTTAGTCATAATTAGCTCTTTTTCTTTGTTTAATTGCTAACACTTAAGTTTACATATTTGTCTTTAAAAGTTGTGTTAACATCATAATGTAAATCTCTATTTTTCTTTATAAGATAAATTATTCATGTTTAATATACTAAATTTTATATTAAAAGATATGGATTATAGACTTTTATGATTCTATTTTTATTCCATTATTAAATTAAATAGGAATGTTCATTTAGTATTAGTTTTCATAATTTGAAATTTATTCGATTTCGTTATGATAACCTTACACACATAACAAGAAACATAAATATTTACATTATATCAAATTAAAATTTGGAGGGCATTGCAAATGTTGAAATTTTTCAAAATATAATTTATTATTTCTAATGGAATAAATCCAAAATCTAACATAGATCATTTATTCTAATCAAATAAAATCGTTTTCAATTTAAAATTAAAATGTCTTTTTTACTAATGATATTTTCCATCATCAAAAGTTTCACACCAAGCCTTAATCAATACTGTATAAAATTCCCTAATAAAATAATGTATAACCAATTTTTCATTGTGACTACATCTTAAAGACCTTAAATTTGACTACTATCGTTTTGAAATTTTAACTTCTTAGGTATTTAGGTTTGATTATAGAATCTATTCACTAATTCGTTTATTTTAGTCTGATCCATTATTTCTTCAATTGATTATTCTAAAACAATTGGATTAGACATCACTATTTGAGAGCTTTACTTATTCTAACTAAGCCTTTCTTAAAATTCTCTTTATTAGATTTCTTTTTAATTTTTTGTTAGGATTATTCAGAGTTTAAAGAAATTTTAGATCAAGACATGATTAAAAGAAGCTAATATCTAGCTAGAAGACTGGTCGATGTAACCAAAAGTAAAATACAAATATGAAAATTAAATTACAATGAGCAGCTAATCAAAAAAAGTTTTAATATGCTGCTGCTTTTTCACTATATTATATTTTTTTCAATTAAATTAAAACCTATCCAATTTATTATATATTCTGAATTATTATGTCAATAAGTGATATTAATTACAAAATTGAATCAATTATGAAAATAATTAATAAAATTTTAGAATATCAATTATTATTGAGTAACTATAATATTGCTTGATAATGTTTCTGAAATGAATTTCTTCTTCTTTTTTATTTAAACTTTTGCGAATTAATAATTTATCCAAAAACATAATTGTTTCACTATCCAATTAAGACAGTATCTTTATTGCTTTTATCTAAAATAATTAAAAATAAGCCATTATGCTAATAGTTCCAAAATATGTATATGTTCTAATCAACAGATTATAAAAACATAAAATCTCTTGCTAAATAATTAATCCATATTTTTAATACTTATTAAAAATGTAAAATAAATAATGATAAATTCATTATGTCTGAAAAAAGAGGTTTTAAAAATTATTACCGATAAGGATAAGAAAAATATTATAGTAAAGTCACACTGGTAGAATTTATCTAGTGACAATAGATGATTGATTATTGTGGACTAGTAGAAATATATTCCGAAATAGTGTTTGAATTAGGATATAACAATATTTTTGAATTCCAAAATCAAATGATTGTATTGGTTCATAAAAATATTAATAATCAATAAGTTATTATAATGATTCTATCGAAGTTTAATAAAAAATATTATTTTATTATAAAAGATATTCTACAATTGAATGATTTATGATTTCTATTATTTAATGTATAGATGGGATGTATCATTCATAACAATAGATTTATAGCCGTCTTGAATTAAGAAAATAGAAAGTTTCTAAAAAAAAATATCAATAAATAATTTAATAATAAAATTTATAATTTATTTATCGATCTATTAAAATTAAAATATTTTATTTTGAAAATCTATTGGCTTTAATTTATAAAAGAAATTAAAATTAACTTAATGAGATAATGATATTTGAAGTCCAAATTCTCTTGATATCATCAAAAAATATTTCTCATATTTATTTTTCAAAAATATAAACCTATTTTTTAATATTTTTACAAAAAACAAGGGGTACTATATGTTCAAATTAATTTTATTATATATAACAAACACCTTAATATCAAAGTTAATACAAAAGATCTAACGAAATAAGAATGAATTATTATAAATATTTCAAAATTATGAGCAATTTTTATTATTCAAAAAATTCTATAATATTCTTTTTAAATTCTTAATGTAATACAAGATTTAATATAGATTATCTTTTTTCAATTATCAGTATTATTGTAAAAACTTTATTTAAAGTAATTTTTATTTTTGATTAACAGAGTTTATTAGAAATGATTTTCTTATATAGGATTGTTATTTATTAAATGACTCTTTAATAAATTTTTTTCTAAGTTAGAGAAGTATATATTGTAGAATTCTTTAAATTATTCGTATAATGATTGTAAATATTTAATCATTTATTTTCAACACTAGTTTTATACTAAAGCACTTGATTTATTATTTTTTATATGCAATTATTTGATTTTGAATATTTTAAAAATTAATATTTGTATTTTATGAATAAATTCAAAACTATATAATTTAGTTTTAGTAATCATTTTAAATTAATTCAGCTAAATATATTTTTAATCATAGAAAATTAAAATTCAAAAAATGTTAAATTTATAGCTTTTAACTTCTTGAAGTTATTATTTTAAACCCTTTGGATTCAAAATCCCAATAACTTTTTTCAGATCTTTAATCAAACATTATCATTGAAATTTTAGGCTTTTTTAATAATTAGAACTTTTTTTAATGAAATCTTACCAATCTAAAAATTGATTAAGTTATCGAATGATTTTCTGAGGAATTGTTTTTTAATTATTGCTAAGACTTCTTCGAAAGGGATTTTTGTTATAAATCCTAGAAATTCTTTATGTGAATTGAAATAAGTACTCAATTCTTTAAATAGGGATCTTTAAGATTATTGTAGCTGCAAAATTTTTATTTTATTAATCTCAAATATCATACTCAGTTAAAAGGGCTGAAATAAATTTAAACTTAATAAAACAAATTACATTGAGAAAAAGTATATTTAAATAATGATTATTTTTTTTTAATCTATGAATTTTATATATGTTATTCATGATAATTAAACTGGTACTTTATCCATAATTTTAATTTTGAAATTAATCCCACCTAAGCATGGATATAATTCTTATGCTGTATCTATTTACAACTATAAAAACTAGCATAAATAAATACAACTGTTATTTCGGGATAATTTAATCTACTAAATTTAATGAATTTTTGTTCAATACACACTTCAATTATTATTATATCATTAGGTTAAAATTTAAATGATAAATTTTTATCATGTTCATCTTTTATATGATGAGAGCAAGTCTTGCCGCTTTCATCTATAAAATAAGCTCTTTGATAATTTGTATAAATACCCATATCCAAATTAGAAACAATTCATGTAATTATTTTTTTGGACAATATCTTTAAGTCCAATTCCAAACCTAAATTTTGATCCACTTAGGATTTAAAATGCAAACTGTATTTTTCTAGTTTTTGGGATAGCTTAATTACAAAAGCAATAATAACTGTTACCATCATTAATAATTTCCGAAATTACTTTGCCACCATCACTTAATAAACAATTATTATGTTTTAAAGTTTTTGAAAATGTTAATGATTTTTAATACTATATAATCTAAAAATAATAAAATAATGATTATAACTATACTTCTTCTAATTCAAATTTCTTTAATTTATCTTCCTGTAACTTATTTTTATAAATTTCTTCAAGTTTCAATGTTACTTCTTATAATTTTAATTCTTTTTCACTTATTTTTTGGCTAAATTCTTATCTTAATTAGTTCTCTATCAATCAATAGGGAGATTTAATACATTTTTCTTCTGATTAGCGGATTATTTTTATCTTCTCTTATTCTTGTAAATATTTCAGATTGATAATTTCTTAAGTTGCTTGCTCAAATTATTCTTTTGCATTTTTACATTCTATTTCCATTTATTTTAGCTTCCCATTAATATCAATAAGTTCCTAGTTGAATTACTGTTACATAGAGTTAATTTAATTATTTTCTATTGATAATTTTATTATATACTATCTATCTCCAAATTAGTATTGGATTCTGCTAATTTTATTAAATCCTTCTCCAATTATTGAATATTACAGTACTTTTTTAATTAATTACTATTATTATGAAAGGAATTCACATACTCATTAAAAATTTTGGATAGATTCAAATCATAAAAATTAGGCTATTCTTAATTATTTACTAAATCTTTTTATTTTAATGAAATATTTTATTAAATCTATTCTATTTTCTAAACATGCTATTAATAAATTGATATAATTTAATGAAATAGATTTAATTGATATTCACATTAATTAGCCGAATCAATAAATTCTTATAGTTCTTTTATTAATATTATTTAGTCTTTTTAGTTTTGTTCTGTTTATTAATATGTTTTAAATTATTCAATTTATCCAGATAATTTTAGGATTAGAGTTTTTTAAACTAAAAAATTACAGATAATTATACTTGAATTTTCCTTTAGAATATCCAATGATTATTATATATCCTATTAATCATACTATTTTAGAGATTCCAAATGATATTCAATATCCTTTTTAAAATTGCCATCTTTATTTTTTAAATTTGTCATAATTTAGATTTAAGATTCTACTTCTTTTCCATTTTAATTTTCAATTAATTATGTTAAATCTTTTAGCAATTATTAATCATTTAAAGTTTAAATAGAATTTTTTTTAATTTGATTTGATTCTTTAGTTTTATTAAGACATAAGTATTATTCTACAATTAATTTTTCACTTATTTCATTCAATTTCTTATTGTAATTCTTTCTCATTTAAGCTATTTAATTCAACAATTCCAATTTTTTAACTCTGTTTTCTTTTTTATACTTTTATAATTTTTTTTCAGATTCTGAACTATATTCTTTCCATTATTTATTGACATTTTCAATAGTTTAATATTTAATTAATGGATTCTCAGAAATACAATCAACACATACAAATCTATCTTCAATATTTTTATTTTATGAATCCATATCAATCATTATAATCTCCTTTTTATGATTAAAACAAATTCTACTTAAGCTTGGAGTTTTCTAATAATAATAAATTAAAAATACAGAATCATTTTTGGTTATTAATAAGGGTAATAGTTCTATAATATTATTTTCCATAATATCTTTAATTGTTTCTCTCGTATTTTTAAATGTATCTAATGTCTAAAAGTATTCAGAACTAGTAAATAAAAGTTCAAATTATCTTTAAATTTCATCAATGAAATTAATATCTTATATTAATTTCTATGATTTTTATTCATCTTGGGAATATAATTCTGATAAATTTCTAATATCTTCAAAGTAATTTAATTAGTATTCATACTCTTGTAATTCTTATTTTTCTTTTTAAATTGGATACATGTATTATTATATTTATTTGTACATCTTTTCCAAAGTATCGTCTACAAATCGTTTGAAATCCATAATTTAATCTAAAATATTCTTATAATAATTCAGTCTTGCTTAATTCTCCTTAATTTTAATATCTTATTATTAGCCTTTAATTTATTAGATTCTCTCTTTAGATTGCTCTATAGTGGTCAATTTATTATTATTTATTTTATCAACTAAACACTTACCACAAAAGAATTTGATCTGTGCTTGGTCTGATAAGTCTAAGTCAACTGCTATCAAATCTAGATTATGAATTTAGCAGATAGTTTCTTATGATTATGTTTCTTATTTTTGTGTTTACTTTAATATATTCATATTTGCTTCTTAATTTAAATAATATATATAATCATTCTAATTCTATCATAAATTTTTCTAATATACTTTTCTTATATTAATTATAATGAAAATTCAGAATATAAATAAATTAAAATTGAATAAGTCTATGTGAATCTAATAAAGCAATTTCAAAAAATTCTTATTCCATTGATTTATATGTACTTATCTATTTGAGATATATAAATTATGCTATGGTCTGCTATGTTATTTATTCTGAGATATAGTGGGTGCAATCGCATAAAAATAGTTAAATAATCTTGTTAATCTACAGCAAGTTGTAATATTTTCAAACGTGGCTATGTTTTGTTATGAATAATTATTAACCATAATTGTTTGATTTCTTCTTTGAAGAGTTAATCGTCTGATAAATATTCAATAATATTTTTTATTTAACAATATAAATTTGTGATTCGATCATCGCCAACTTGTATAATCAAAGTTTGTGAAGAGTAGAGGAATCAAAATCTTATTAAGGTTGTTCAAATCCCTTAATGGCATAGAAATTTAATTATTTCACTAGAAAAATTTAGGGTCAATCTGTAAATAGGATTTTATCACTTAATTCTTCTTTTTATTTTTACTAATTAATTAAAGAACCTTACAAGTTTTCAAGAACAATATATAATTCCGATAGCTAAACGAAATGACCATTCCAATAAGCCTGTAATTTTTATATACGAACGCATTAACTATTGTTGGGATCAAATTAATTAAAAGGAGCTGAGTATATACTAATTTACAATTAGGCATTTAGTAAGAAATCTGTCTTAGTTGTCATCCATTGTTGAGTGTTGTTTAATTAATATTCTAATCCAATGTTATGTGAAATCAAACAATTATCAGAAATCCTTAATATAGCTTATCAAGCTTTCTATTAAATACATCTTTCAAATTACAATATCATTATTATAAATATCTATCTTTATTGATTAAACTTGTAGACACTCTATAAAACGAGCATATATTAGCAAATCTTCCAATAATGATGGAATTACTTGAATAAACTTACAGATAAAAGAATTGTTTAATTAATTTATTTAATTAAATAAATAAATAAAGCAATATATTGCAAAAATATCCAAAATTATTAAATTTATTAGTAAGGATTTATAATAATACACCAACAATTAAAGGGCACAAGCAAATAATTTTCTCTTTTTGACAAGTAGGTATTATAAAATAATAATTATAGAAAAAGATTCAATTAAGTATAGAGACTGATAATTATGCTTCAAGCCAGAAATTTCCCTTAATAATATAATGGATTTGTCATTATTATTGCGAGTCATAAACAATAAACAAATTTATTTCTTTAATCTAAAATAGTTTTGAGATTGTAAATGAAGGGTCTTTCTGGATTATTTTATCCCTTATATATATATAAAGCGAAATTAAATTTTAAATCTAAAAATAATTGAAACCTAACATTTGATTATTTCAAATCATGTCAGACAGAATTTATATTTTCATTTACTTGTGAAGCAATTTAGGATTTTGTTATTTTTTCTATATTAACTTTATCCATTTGATAATATTATTTAAGGAATATATTTTAAATGGAATAATTGATATCATCTATGAAATATATTCCTTATAAGAATGATATCTCAATATAATATTTATTACATGTGTAATTTAAGTATATGAATATTAAGATAATTGCAATTTAAATTATCCACCTATATTTTTATAAGGATTTATAATAAACCTAATTTCACATTTATAAAATCTGCCAATTTTGTCATCTTTGCAAAAATTGATCTCAAGATGTTATTCAGTTAAAACGTAATATTAACAAGTAATATTCATTACTTTAAATTTTGAAAGTATTAAAAAAAAAATTACTAAGACTTATTACAAAATTCAGATAGCATGAATGTTAGCATGATTCTTGTTTAACAAAACAACCATCAAAAGATTCCAAATTATCATTTATACATAATATTCAATTGGCCCTTGAAATATAATTAAAAATCAGAGAATCCATAAAAAAGGTTTTATTTGCCAGGATCTTATAAGAAAAAGGTTATATAATTACTTTAAAATAATCTTAATTCATAATTTAGATTATAGTATATTATTTAAATTGAATCAGATTGAATTTGAGCTTGAATAATGTAGGAATTGTAATTTGGTAATTTAAATTAAATTAGATTTTTTTAATAATAATATCATTTCAAATCAATAGCAGAAACTTTATATATGTGTGTGAAACTTAGCAAATAACGCTTTATGGTTTAGAGTAGAACAATTTGCATATGCTCTATACCATTAATAATTATATTAAATGCTTATTCCACAAATTGTATTTAATAAATTTCCATTTTTTATACTAGTAACTAAAAGAGACATATTTCGTTATTTTTATAACTTTTCATGACATTTTCTCATTTTACAAATAATACCAGTTCCAATGCATCTATCTCTCTCTCGTGAGCTTCTTTTATTTAATAAGTTCAATAAAATACTCATTAGATGCATCTTCCATCTTAATCAAAACATTTATTTTTTAGTTGTCACAAATAAAACACTTACTACTTTTAAACTATCAACTTCCGATTTGTATTTAAAAGAGTAAGATTTATTTAGATTATCACAACTTATGAAGAATAAAATTATAAAAATATCAATAGTTTATATTTTGTAAATAATTACTTTAAACTCATATTTCAATTAAAAAAGCATGAAGATAAAATTATTTTTAAAATACATATATCCAGAATTTAATTTTCAATTATTTGGGTTGTGAATTATTAATTAATATTTGTTATTTTATGTTTTTTATTATATAATTTTATAAAATCCATTTAATCTTTCTAATTATTGATATACTAGTCAATTTAATAATTTAATATAAAATAAAGATTATTTACCTATTCTCTACATAGTTGAAAGATTATTTATCAGAATATATAATAAATTTTGATTACATGATAAATTATATAAAAAACCTTAGATATTTATTTTAATTTTGTATTTGTAGAACATGAATTTCAATCTAAGAATTTTTTGATAAAAATGAAGCTATCAATATTATATTATTTATGCTGGCAAACACTTGAGATTAACATCTACTTAGTTTTTCTAATATTTTAGATTAGATGATAAAAAATAATATTTGCTATTTAATATAATGTTCAATTATAATTTCAAATTTCTATTTCTGTATTGATATAACCAATATTTCTCATTCTATATTTTATTAAAATATAAAAGGCTATTAATTATGCTGTTATTATGATAAGTAATGTATAAATCGATTTGCTTTTTGGAATATCTAGATCAGGAAGTATAAATGTTAACTCATAAGATCCGTTTGAAAATTCATTCATGCATTAAGTGTTCACTTGGACATCTTTTTTATGTATCCTATAATGACATTTTAATGTTCTAGTATAGATTGGATAATATAAAACTGATCCATCATTAAATGTGAGACATGTCGGGTTTTGAGACTCTAAATTAGAAATTAAAGCATATTCAAGAGATGTAGAATTTATAGATTCTAGCATCAAAATAGGCTCTTCCAAATTATTATTAAGTAATTTACTTATTTAATAAACTCCTATAATATAGTTATATCCTTTTTTAAACTATTGAAGTAAATAACCATTAGAATAAATAGAAATTGTATTTGGCTTCAAATCGCCATAGGCTGGGATAGAAGTGATAATATATCTAACTCTTTCAAACAAGTATTATTTTAAACTGTAAACTAAAAATTATCCAACACCTTCAATACTAGTGATAAGCATGAATAATTCATCGTTAATTATTTGTAAAATTTAAATTTAAACCCCGAAAATATTGTTATAAATCCACATCAAAGCTGAAGGTTCTTGAAAAGAAATTGAGTTATTTCTGATAAATATATATTAAGAAAAGGCAAGATAATCAATAATGTATAAAATAATAACTAAATTTTCCTCATTGATATCTGAATTTAAATTATATAAAGCTACTGAAAAATCTTGACATGAAAAATTATAGTCATATAGTTATTGCATGCTGCTGTTTGATGAGTTAAATAAATAGAGCTTACCATACAAGTTGGAATAATAAGAATCGTAAGTACCTAATATAAAATTAAGGTTAGCTATATTATTTATTTTAGATACATTTGTAAATCTATTAGGAATTGAAAATGAGTTCATATCTATAACAATTCCATTAGAGTCAAAAGAAATGCTTAGCCAATATTATGCAGTGTCGTTTTAACAAATAGAAGATAAAGTTAAATTATAAGATGTTGATTTCAAGCAATCAGTAAAATTTAAATTAGAATAATTGTGCAATTATAGATATTCAAAAAACTAATCTACAATTTAGATTTATTTGCTGTTTTACAGAACAAAAAATTAATTATTTACTGCAGTTACTAATGTATAATTTTGATTGTTGGTAATGTTATAGTAACCAAAATTTGTTAAATCGCATATATTATTTGAAATGTATTTTTAATCAAATTAATCAACTTAAGAAATATTAGAACTATTAGAAAAATAGCAAAAGCTTGTTTGCCTATCAAGGATTATATTCATAGGAACTGTGAAAGTTCTTTCACTTTAATTTAAATCCTATATCTACAAAAGTATCGTTTTACTAGTTATTGGTTAAAAATAAGTAAAATTAGTTTTGTAAATCACGCTTTAATTTGGTGTATAATATACTTAATAATTTAATTATTATCATTTTGTAAAATTAAATATAATGAGCTGTTTAATTTAATTAAGAAAGAACAGAAAAATTATAAATCATTTATGGGTATGAGAGTTCAAAGTTTAAAGATTAATTTACTTGAAGTTCAAAATTTTGTTTTGTTGATAATTATTTGATATTTTTATCATAAAACAAATAAGAATTAAATATTTCTCCAAACTAATTATAAGAAATTGAGTCAACCTCTTAATTGCAAATATATGATAACACTAATTATTGATTGACAATGTTTATTTATTAAATTTAGAATGGAAACCTTATGATTGAAATTGGTATAAGTTAATTATTTTAATCAATAGAAATAATTATGACATTATTAATGTTATTGATAAATAAACATGAAGATAACTATTAAGTATTTACAGCTATTTAAATAGGATTAAATTTTAGCTAACTGTCTGATTTAAATAATTTATTAATCATAGTTTCGTTAATGATTACTAAATTAGTAAAATTCAAAGTCATGATTTAAATTTCTTCATTTACAAACAAAGTTATCAAATTATTATACGTAACTNAAATGCTTAGCCAATATTATGCAGTGTCGTTTTAACAAATAGAAGATAAAGTTAAATTATAAGATGTTGATTTCAAGCAATCAGTAAAATTTAAATTAGAATAATTGTGCAATTATAGATATTCAAAAAACTAATCTACAATTTAGATTTATTTGCTGTTTTACAGAACAAAAAATTAATTATTTACTGCAGTTACTAATGTATAATTTTGATTGTTGGTAATGTTATAGTAACCAAAATTTGTTAAATCGCATATATTATTTGAAATGTATTTTTAATCAAATTAATCAACTTAAGAAATATTAGAACTATTAGAAAAATAGCAAAAGCTTGTTTGCCTATCAAGGATTATATTCATAGGAACTGTGAAAGTTCTTTCACTTTAATTTAAATCCTATATCTACAAAAGTATCGTTTTACTAGTTATTGGTTAAAAATAAGTAAAATTAGTTTTGTAAATCACGCTTTAATTTGGTGTATAATAATGAGCTGTTTAATTTAATTAAGAAAGAACAGAAAAATTATAAATCATTTATGGGTATGAGAGTTCAAAGTTTAAAGATTAATTTACTTGAAGTTCAAAATTTTGTTTTGTTGATAATTATTTGATATTTTTATCATAAAACAAATAAGAATTAAATATTTCTCCAAACTAATTATAAGAAATTGAGTCAACCTCTTAATTGCAAATATATGATAACACTAATTATTGATTGACAATGTTTATTTATTAAATTTAGAATGGAAACCTTATGATTGAAATTGGTATAAGTTAATTATTTTAATCAATAGAAATAATTATGACATTATTAATGTTATTGATAAATAAACATGAAGATAACTATTAAGTATTTACAGCTATTTAAATAGGATTAAATTTTAGCTAAATGTTTGGTTTAAATAATTTATTAATCATAGATTCGTTAATAATTACTAGATCAGTAAAATTCAAAGTCAAAATTTAAATTTCTCTTTTTCTAAACAAAGCTATCAAATTATTATTAGTAACTAAAAATTCTGAAAATTGTTATTTAAACTTAAACTCTGAGATATAAAGTTGACGGCAAAAATTACATATTTGATAAAGGTAGATTGTATCATTATCACTAAGACCAATTATAATTATTCCTATTATTTTATAAGCAACTTTTAATGATTAAGCCTTTTAAGTTATACTAATATTTATACAAGGATATAATTAATTCGGATAGAATTCAAAAATAAATACTTATATTAATTCGTTCGTTATTCCTATAAAATAAAATTTATAATTTGTCATTAAGAATTAAGCCATCTTGTACGTATGATCAGTTATTGGAAAACATTGAATGAAAAGTGACGACTTCTAAAGCTTGGACAGAATTTAAGCCAAAAAAAGGAAGTAGGAAAAAATCTCTTGAGAATAATAACATATAGTATGAAAAGATAATTGTATAAATTTGACACAGTCATTTTAACTTAAATTTAGTGAATGTCTTATTAAAAAGGTTATATTAGAAAAGAAATTTGAGGATTTAATAATGAATTGTGCCTACTTAGGCTAATAAAATTTAGAGTAAGAAAAAATTAATATACAATAATTCAAAATTTTAGTTTTCAACCTAAACTAAACTAAAAAACAAAATAATTTTCTAATTGGGATGAGGGGTATAAATATGCATGCAAGAAATGTTAACGATGTAACTAATAAAGTACTTTTAACTAAGTTTCGCAACATAATACTGAACTTTATGACGAGTTTAACTTGTTTAAGAAATAGTATAATTATAAACTAAATTGCATTCACTCAGTCAAAGTTATTAAAATGAAAAATGAGACTAAATAAAGAATTAATTTAGAGATTAAATATTCAAATTATGGAGAAAATGATAATTGAAATTTATTATCATATTAAATTAAATATTTATTTTATAATAAAAAGACAAACACTCTTTAAGCTATTTATATTTTAAAGGAATCCATTAAATTAAATAATAAATGTATTTAATTGATAATTATTCAGATCAAACTTTATTCTAAACTAAATATATATGATAATAGTATCTGCTTTATTTAAATAGTTAGACTATTTTTTTTTTGATTATACATCAATAGCCCTACTATATGGAATTAATTCATATTAATGCTATACTAATTTATTTTATTTATTCTAATAAAATTCTATAGAAATCTTTTGAATTATTTATTCCATAATCTTATATTATGTATAATCATTTTTAACTTTTTTTTTTGAAAAAGAGATGACTTTATTTTTGTAAGAGCCATGTTAAAAACACTTATGAAACAAAAAAACAACATATTTAATTACAAGCTAAAAACAATCATTAATAAATATTGTTTATATCTATATTATTATATTATCTCATTTATCATATTTCCATTCGTTGATTTTTTTGAATCCCTCATTCATTTTATTCCATTTTTATTCCATTGACACCCATGTGACAATTTTTTTTCCATTATCATATTTACCAATACAAGTTATTAGTTTGAAATAATAAAATCCTTCTTCCAAATCAATCCACTTGCCAATCTTTAATTCATTGCCGCGTTCATCGAATAATCCACCACCACTGAAATCAGTTGCACATATGAAAAATTTATATAATATATTTACATTTTAAAGAATTGACTATTACTGTCATTCCTGTACTCAATATCCCATCTGCCAATTTTTTTGCCATTATCATATTCACCCTTATAAATTACTTATTTATTATAATAAAATTCGTCATCCAAATCAATCCACCTTCCTATCTTAATTCCATTACATCCTTCATCATATTATCCACCACTACTATTTAAATAGGAATATTATCAAATTAAATATTTTACATCTTTTGATTTTCATACAAAATATCCCATTCACCAACTTTTTTACCATTTTTATATTGACCCTTTTATGTTACCTAAGCAACACATCTATTTCCATCCAATAGTTCAACCCAATTACCTACTTTAATACCAACACCTCCTTCATCATATAATCCTCCACCACTAAAAATACACAAGCAAATTATTATTAAAATCTTATAATTTATTTTTACATCTTTTAATTTTCTTAACTATCCAATAACCAAATATCCCATTTACCAATTTTTTTGCCATTTTTATACTCACCATTGTGTGTTACTTAACAATTACAACAAAATCCGTCCAAAATTTCTACCCAATTACCCCACTTAACTTCATGACCTCCTTCATCATATGAACCGCCCCCACTGAAAACCCACAAATTATTTTTATTATTATAAATATATAATGTAGTTTTACATCTATTTATTTTCTTAAACATCCTGAAACTAAACATCCCATCTACCAACTTTTTTACCATTTTAATACCTACCTTTGTAAATTAATTACTTAAGAATAATTGTTAAAACCATTCAATATTACCACCCAAAGACCCAACTTAACTCCATCACTTCCTTCATCATATAATCCACCACCACTGAAAACACACACACAAAAATTATTATTAAACTAAATATGAAATTATTACATATTCCGATTTTTATCCAAAATATCCCATATACCAAGCTTCTATCCATTTTTATATTCACCCCTATACATAACTTATGCTTCATCATTAAAGTTCTCACTTAACTCTATCCATTAACCTTTCTTTTAAGCTTGCTCATTGTAGAATCCACCTCCACTAAATCTTAAACTCAATAATAATACATCTTTTTATTCCCATAAAAATATATCCATAATCCACTTTTCTAATTATTTTAGTATTATCCAAGTTCGAATACCTAACATTTGCTATTATTGAACTTAATTAATAATTTACCCACAAAACTGATTCATGATTTCCTTCCAACTACCTTACTTCGACCCATCCTCTGAATATCCACCAACTTAAGAGAGATATTTTCCTTTCCAATAAGCAATCCATTTTCCAACCTTCTTAAGATTCTAACCATAATTTCCATACCATTAAAGATATTAGATTTATTCAAAATTAGTAAAAACTTCAGGTCTCTGTAAAGAGTCTAAAAATTTTTCTCTAAATATTTAATTTAAATTATTTACATTCTATGTATTGATCCATCAATAATGTATATAATTTCTTTTTATCTACAAAGAGTTATTTTGCAATTTTTCTAAATCCATCTATGTTAATTGGAATGCCAATATGTGCATTCATATTCTTAGATAATATTTTGGTTCTCAGTTTAACCATTTTTTGTCTTTTATTATTCAGCACTATCCTAATTACCTTGCTAAGAGATTTTATCTTTTTTATTCTAAAAACTTTTGTTATTTGAACAGGAATTTCCCATTTTTTAAGATTTAAGATTTAAATAATTAATATTTTAGTAATTTTTATGAATTTTTAGAATTTAGGTTGCTAAATGCCAAAATGAAATATTCTTCCTCTATTATCTTGTCATTAATTAATTTTAATTTAATATTTTTATCATTATTCAATCTTTAAGAGATACTATTTATTTTTCATTAGAAAAACATCATTTTTTATCATTTATGTTTTTGATTCTATATAAAATTGAAATATTTAGTTACTTGTATTCCATAGGTAAATTTAATGTAAATATTAAAAGGTAAATCTTTATACAAAATGAAACAATATGAATAGGCAATTGAATATTTTAACAAAGCATTGGCCATCAATCCATAATTTAATAAATCTATGGATTACTTAAGTAATTTTAATTTCAATATTTAAGAGTTTAGCTTATTAAATTGTATAATTTATATTATTAAATAGAAAGAATCAAAGAAGATTATTAGTTCAAATAATTCTTAGAAAATGAATTTAACTTAAGTAATTGAATCAATTTAATAAATTAAATATATTATTCAAATTAAACAATAATAATTCCTTTAATTTCATTTAATTGATACTCTGTTACTTTTAGACTTTAAATTATTAAAAAAGAAAAATTCATTATTTATATAATAGCAAAATTATAATTAATTTTATAAAAAAATATTTTGATAATTTTAATTTAAGAGCTGAATTTATTAAGAACTTCATTTTTTGGAAATATAAGAATATTTTATTCATATAATTTGGAGAAAAAAATTGATAAAATTATAAAAGATGAATTTTTAAAAGACTTATTTTTACAAGATGTTAAATCCAAAACACACATAAATACAGTTCTCACTAACACTTGGATTTTTACTTTTAATAACATCCTCCTTCCTTCAAATACTTAAATAAATTAAAAAAATTTATTACTTAATGATTGTTTATCATTAATCATGAAAAATGCAGAAAATTATATCATAATTAAAATAAATATTAAGACTACGAGTATAAATAATTTTAGTCAGAATGATGAAAAGAAAACTACTTGAATTAGTGAATTGATTTAATTTTTATGCTCTATTTGGAGAGAGTTAAAAAATTAAATTAAAGAAATTTTGAAGTTGTAAGAATTATTAACTGAGTTTCTTTTGAAACAACAAATCATAAACTATTAATCATAATTAGATAATTTAAACCAATATTTATTTCTTTATCAATTCTGCCTAGTTTTAACCAAATAATTATAAACTGTAAATTATTAAATTTATCATTTACTATTAAGAATTATGTAAACTATTAAAATATGAATATAACAAATTCATCTAAATTTTGAATAAACTTCTTTTTTTGCAATTAAATGTAAACCAAATCAAAGGTGGCTAGTATATTGATCAAAGAAAGTAAGTAAGATTTTTTAATTAAGATATTTTGTTGCAAGTATTATGATTTAATATTTTCAACAATATTATGAGAAACTGCTTAAATCCAGTAATGTTAACAATAAGTTCTTAAAAAGCAATATATCCTCTGTAAATGCAAGTGTTTTTTATAAATGAATAATTTTCTCTCTAGTATCTTTCATTCATCAAAAAAAGTGCAAAATCTAAAATTTCATAGATATCTTGGACTCAAGAAAATTTAATTCCTTCGACCCAATAAGTTCTTCAATATAGATTAATAAGTCTCATATCAATAATATATATATCTTTCTTTTTAAAAGGGATTTGGTTTTAGATGGTAATATTATTTTTAAAGCTATTTAAAATTTTATTCAAATCAAATGACTGAATAAAAGGTTCCTGTATTAATCATCCTCTTTTCAATAAGATCCTTTAGGAGAATAATCATCAATTGATTAAAGATCTATTTTTCAATAATTTAATGGAGAAATATACAAAAGATATTAAAAAGAAAGTTTAATTATGGAGAAAAATATTTTTTTAAATAATAAGGTAACTTAGACTTAATATTACAAAAATAAATTTAATTTATAAATTAATAAAAATAATTGTGATGCAATATTTAACAATTTTCACGATTCAACTAATTGTAGAATATGATTCAAAAAAGTAGTAATACTACAGTGTGATAATAAAGAAAATTTCTTTCATTTTTAAATGAATTTAGCTTATAATTTAGGAAACAGGTAATTTGACACCTGTTCATGCAAAATGTTTTTTGAAGGGTCTTTGTTAATTAAGACACTAAAGATTGATTAGTGTAATAACCTGTAGGAAAAATATCTTTGAGCATCCTCCTTTAATTTAAACAATTAGCATAAGATCATGTTTAACCTTCTAAATAATATAGCTATATCTTGCTTCATAAAGAGGATGGTGTCTTTATAATTTTAATCTCTACAATAGATTTTGATTTTGATGCTAGATATTAATAATCAATAGTAAGAACAAATAATACTTTCAACTTAAAAATTATTCCTTCATTTGTTCATCATACTCTTGTCAATTTGAAAGTTAAGCTATCTTACTTCAGAAAAATCATTTGCTTTTTATTTGATTAGTGAGAGCAACGTGTTTTAAGATAGCTAGGCTTAAATAAATGCATCAAAAGAACCCAAAATCTTTATAAAGGAGTAAAATCTTTGGCTCTCTATCCTTTTCTCAAACTCTATTAATGAATGATCTACTCCCTCATCGAAAAAGAAGCAATAATTCCATTTAAAAGATTTTTTCCTTTAATGAATTTCATGGGAGTACCAAAAATTAATCAATTTGAATTGATAAATGATGGGAGTAATTAGCAAAAAATTTATGAGCAGACTAGGAGTTAAGTGTTGCTTGTTATCTAAAAAAGTTAATAGAATTTTAAGGGAAGTAAGAGAGCGAGAGGATGAGCTCTTCTTAAAGCTCTTTAACTTTAAAATAGGAGTGTGGATTAATCCCATTTATAATAATTATTAATATTATTATGATTATTATAATGTTTTGTTAAGGAACTAAATACACATTAAATTATTCATTCTCTTTTATTTTGATTGATATATGTTATCGCTTGTGCTATTCGTTTATATCTTTTTTCTTAATTTTCCCCTTAAGGATTAACAGTAACACTTAAAATTTAAGTCAAAAATCTATTCAATTATATATTAATGATTCATCTTAAGCTTTAGTAGTATAATTCATTGAGGTTTTTAGCAACCTGACTATTCCTGTTAATTTTGATTAATAAGTCAATAATGAGATTTGGTATCAATTTTGGCAATCTTGTTATAATCTTTTAGGGTAGTTATATTAGATCATTCTTTGGAGTTTTAATGTAGGCTGTTTAGATAGCCAAATTCAAATTATTCTGATTTAATCCATAAATTTATTAAAATCATAATCTTGTTATCAATTTTGGTTGACAATAAAAACCTCGTGATCAATTAATTGAGTAATGTCATTTATTGAGTTATATCAAGATTAAGAACCAAAAACTCTTGTGCTTTTACCTTACCTTACCTTAGCCATTTAGTTAATAAATTAAATTATTGTTAATGAATAGTCAAATTACAAATTTATCAAAATATTCAAATTAAACAATTCCACTTAACCTACATCATCTAAGATTAGATATAATACACAATTATTACAATTTCCAAAGAGACAAAAAGTCTTACTAACATTTCCTTTATCAATGGAGTTATTTGTTCTTTTAATAAATAATTTTACAACTATTTCAAATAGTTTAACTTAATTATAACTTTTGCTCGAAATAAAAAACCAAAATGCATTTTTATATTTTTAATGATTTGAGTCGATAGTTAAGTTAATCCTTCCTCTTCAAGCTATTATGATTTATATTATTATTAAAATGCTTATTATAATTATTTAATAAGTATCTAAGATTCATATTTATCGACTAATTAGTGTTCATAATTAAATTAAAGACTAAATCCAAGCAATTTATATCAACTACTCTGATTCTATTATTTTTAAATGATAAGATCTTCACTACTCCATAATTAAAGATAATTCGTCTTATAGACTATTAATATGATTCTTAATCTATTCATGGTTTAATCTCCAATTCTTAATTAATCATACGACTCAGTATTTTTATTTATTATATTATATCACTCAATATTTTAATTGTATCATCATTCCCTACTTTTTTGGGTTTTTATTGAATAAATTCAGGCAATTTTGCAAGAAAAAATACAACATCAAAATTATTTTTATTAAATTGAAGTGATACATCATTTCAAAAACCTTAAGTGATTATTAAAAACAGGTAGGAGTTGAAAAATTTTTAAAGTATAATACAATACCAAAAATATACTTATCAAAATTACAGTAATTTTTTAATTAAAAAAATGATATCCATGAATGGTATCAATTAATGAATATGTTCTTTAAAAGAATTATAGAAAATTAATAGCGAATAGAGCTTATTCTAAGTAATTTAGTTTAGGTACTTATTTATTATAGCTTAATAATTAATTTTCAATATTTTAATGTATATGTTTATTTTATTATTTATCCTTAGTAAACATACTAAAATGTCAAAAATTAAATATTAATATCTTTCTGATTTACTTTTATAAACAAGTATTAGGTTAGAGAAAATTAATAAATTATTAATTTTGTTTCTGTTCCAAATAATTAAAATGAAATAAAATGTATAGTTTTAATCTCATATTACAATAATCTTACATTAATATGTTATTATGCATTATTATACATTTAGTAAAATATTTATAACATTCTACTTTAGTTGTCAATTTTAAGATAGTAAGACACATCCAGCATCTGTAGCCAAGTAGAAATCTTCAAAAAAACTTTTATTTACATTTAATAGTACCATATATGCGTCTAGAAAAATAAGCAGTCCATTCAACTTCAGAATCAGTTTAATTAGGGGAATTGTCGCATCACTTTGTGAGTAAGGTGTCCCAGTCCAATTAAAAGGATCTCCATTCATATAATAGTGAAACTACTTCTCTGTCATTGTCTCATATGATGCAGAATATTTATATAATTTTCTCTATTTTTAGAAGCTGTATATTAGTTACTTAGATAATTTCTACATTTATTGTCATCATAATCTAAAATAGCATGAGTCGTTTTTTGCAAAAATTTTCTGTGCTTAAGAGGAAGATTCAATCCTTCTATATGGTCCTCTTTCCAATTAGATTTGACATTTTTCTTATTTTTAATAAAGAGCCATATCAGTTGTCTGAATTATGCCTTAGCAGAGTAGTATAAAGATACATATTATTACATATTAACTTATGTAAGTTAGAATACCAAATTCATTGATTTAAGTGAAATTGGTCTTAAGTTGATTATAGGTTGTAAGGTACTCTGACCAATACAATCTATTTAAGGAATACTATTGACTCCTTTTACTAGTATTATTAAACACTATTGAACTAGAAATTATTTCAAGGGTTACTTAGTTTGGATGATTGTGAAAATTTGCTTCTAACTAACAAATACTCTGATAATCAGATAGATTCCCAGCCTCTCTAACTTAACATTATGAATTGTGAAAGAATGATGATTTATTATAATATGTTCAAAATAATATAATAAATATATTTCATTAATTCTTTTACTTACAGATTAATAAGGTCTTTATCCAATATCGCTACATTGATATTGAACCCTTTTATAATTATTACAAAATATTTCAAATTAGGAATTTACTCATTTTTAAAAATATATCTTTAAAATCATCTACTTGAATGTATTTATGAAAATTAATATATTTAGTAGTCCTTTAAGAATACGACATTTTTTTATAATTTAAATTTGACTAAAATTAAACAATTCTTCTTTTTAATTTCAAATTATTAATATTCATAAAAATTAATAGATGTTTCAAGTCTTTTTTAACTTTTTATTTATAAATTTTTTCTTGTATCCAGCCATTAAATAAAATTGTTTAGCTTCTGCCTTTCTTCCCAATAATAGTAATGAATCAGCTAAAACATGATTAAAAATTTACCTAATGTCTTCATTATAAAAGGCTGAGGACTAATTAAATACGCTTTTCTCAAGGTTTAGATGGCTTCATTGTACTTTTTTGATTGAGATAAAACTTTGCCTATTAAGTTTAGAAATTTTATACTTTTAAGAAAATACGCCTATAAATCTTTAGGATTTAACTAGATTTATTATTCATAGCACTATATTGCTTTGAAATATCGATTCATTTTTGTTAGAGCATAACCTTATTGGAATAATGAGTAAAAACCTTTACTATAAAGCATTAGTCTATCTTTGGGATTAATCAGCAAAAGTTAATCAAAGCACTCAATAGCTTTCTTATATCTATGTAATGAAATTAGTGCATTTCCTTAAATAATAATTAATTATAAACCTTTTTTATAATAAGCTTCACTTAAATTTGGATTAATACTTAAAGCCTTATTAAAATAAATTATTGATTCCTCTAGTCTGTTTAATTGGCATAAAGCATCCCCTATTTAGACGACTTAATTTACCTTTATTATAATAGACTTCACTATTTAATGGAGATATTTAAATGATTTAATCGTAACATTCTATGGCTTCTTAAAATCTTGTTAAAGCATGTAAAGCTTTGCCTTTATTAATTAAATAAGAAATTTACTTTTTAAAATGAAAGCTTCACTATCAGCAGGACACAACTTTATAATTATATCAAAGCATTCAATAGCTTCTGTATATTTATTTTAACCTAATAATAAATCCCCTAAATTCGAATTATAAATCTACCTTTAAGTAGTAATACTACACTATCATTTGGATTTATTTTTAAAGCCTAATCAAAGCATTATATAGATTCTTAAATTTTATTCATATAACTTAAAATGCTACCTATACAAATTAATATATTTAAATACCTTTAAAATGATAAGTTATACTAGATTATGGATTTAATGTAATTGCTTTATCATAATATTCAATAGCTTCATTCCATCTTTACAATTTATGTAATGCTTAACCTATATAATTATACAAAAGTAAAGATATATACCTTTATTGATAAGAGTCTCAAAGTTTTCTTAATAAATAGGTAATTAATCAGCTTATTCTGATGTTTCTATTTATAAAGCTCTTATACCTACAACTTCACCTAAAATTATTTGGCTAATAGATATACATTGATTGTTAGCAAAATAGCTTTTTTAATAATTAATAGCTAATTCATCATTGTCTAATTAACTATTATTTGCATTAACATTATCCATTAAGATAAAAACAAATAATTATACAATAAAAAAAATAATATACTTTTATATTCTAATATATTATAATTTTTTATCAGGTTTACACTACAAAAATAAGTGTAAATTCGTTAATATTTCTAAAATGATGTAACAAATATGAATAATTGCATAAAGAATAAATCAAATTAGGTTTTTCTATAAAATCTAATCACTTTAAAACCTAAAGAAATTAATATTTAAACTCTTTCCTTAAACTATTAAGTACTATGAGTAGAGAACTATAAGATAACTCTAAGAAAATTTAACTATTTAAAACTGTATTCTTATCTTAATAGAGATTTATTAATCTTTGTATTTATAGCCCTTTTCTGGTGAAGAATGATATTTCATAGGTAAGTTCCTCTATATTTAAATTAATTATTTCTATTTAGCCTCCAATGTTAGAGTAATTTAGTTGAGTAAACTTAACTAATAAAAATTGCCCAAAAACATATTATATAGGATAAAATAATGTATCAGTTAAAACTTCAGTTATTTACGACCTTGCCTCCTTGAGGAACACAATAAGTGCAAGAGCCTTATATAATTAATTTATTTCTGTTTAACAATCTGCTTAATTGAAAATTTTGGATTTATTGTTATTTTTGTGTCTAATCTTTTTATTTGGCTGTTAGTCAATTTCATGGTAAGCTTCAGTTTTTTAGATCTATTGTTTCAAAATATATACAAAATCATTAAATTTAGATGGAAAATTTGAAACCATGCTCTAGCTACTATTATAGATAATTGTGAATTACAAAGAAATTTCATTAGTTGTTGATATTATCTTTATAGTGAATCATTTCATGTATAACTAAAATGGTTTCGCATGTATATTCCTTAAGTTACAAAGAAGAAACTTGTAAAATAGAGTAATTTAAAATACAATTTGATACAGATTGTATCTCTAATCAATTAGTAGAAACATAAAATTCTTGCCTACCTAGGATTACAAATTATAAGAAATTCAAATCCTAAAAATTTTAATTGATTGATAATAATTATAAAATACTATATATATTGAAATATTTAATCTAAAATCATAAATTATCATCTAAATCATGACTAGCATCATTATCAATTTTAAATCAATTAAGTTTAGTTTTATCAATGTCAAAAAAGAGGAAGATAAGTTTTAATGTAGAAAATACAATATTGGACTTATTCCTTAATAATCCAAGTAATTTTGGATTCCTTTATATTCAACTTAATAATTATTGTGTCTTTAATATTAAAAGAAAAACATGAGATTTTTGATTGCTAAATTATACCCATATGAAGATGGGTTATATAGTTCTTGCTCATAAGTATTTTAACGTAAAATTTCTTTGTTCCTTACACCCAATACAACTTAAGAAATTGGATTTAGAAATTTTATAGCAAATTTTTTAATTTCAGTTTTTGAAATCATAGGTAGATCTATTACAAAATTTTGACTTTTTAGGCAACTTTCTTACTTACCATTAGTTGTAATCTGAATAATTAGATTATATTTACATTTTAAAATATAATATAAAAAAATGATAAAATAACTAAGTGATTGTTATTGAATGAGCGATTGACTTGACCAAATTACTAAATTCTTTTATAATTTTTTTCGGTATTTATTATCTTATTTACAAATAAATTTAATTATGTCACCTAAATGATCTATTTAGTTCTATAAGTTTATTATTAATGATAGGGATTCTGACATATTTCTTTTATGCTAATTTAAATTTTTAGATTTCAAATTTATTATAATGAAATTAACTAAAAGATTACAAAAACCAAAACATTATCAAAAATTTAGTTAATTTAGTTGCAAAAATTTCTTTAAGGATGGTTAAATTATCTTTAATGACAAAATCAATTATTTAAAATTCAAAATTTATTCATCATTGAACTAGATTCCAAAGAGTATAAAGATTCTTATAACAAATTAATCAAGAAATTTGTAGAACTTTATTTATAGATTTAATTTACTTGAATTTGATTAAATGATTAGTGAACAATTGCATAATTGATAATCCATGTATGATATTCTGATTATCTCAAGGAAATAACTTTATAAAAGCAATTATAATTCCATTCTCATCAATCTATTAAAGGTACTCTTCAAAAAGCTCCAAGCAATTTTCATCATATTAATCATATCTTTGGAATAATAATTAAAAATTTTATGTACAATCTTTATTTTAAAACAATTTTTAAAACTTATTACTTTAAAAAGGCAAATATTTTCTAAATTCTTAGAAAGAAAAATGATAGAATAAAATTAGGCTGGAGATTTTGATGAATATTTTTTTCATTTTTTCCTTCTAAGAATTAAAAAAATATTTACTTTTTTTAAAGTAAACAAGGTTATACTTTTATTAAATTATATCAGGTATTTTCATATTTTATTTTAAAGATTTTACTTTGATTGTAATATTCTTCCATAAACAGTTTATTTTCTCCAAAGTCCAAATAGGATAATTGTAAAAATTATCTCTATTAATTTATTTTCTTGATTAAAGAAAATCAAATTCAATTAGTGGTAAATTCATAGTTACATAAAATATGGTCTCTTTCTTAAAAATGGAATATATACTTTTGAAATTTCATTTAATAATCGAAATCAGAATAGTTATTAATATCATTTTTTTTTTACAATATGAATTAGTGTTCAAATTTCACTTCTGTGTGTGAAATACAAAATGGTGATATGTATAGCTTTAATTAAGGATAATTGATGTAAAATTATTAAAACCTCTATAATAGAGATGAAACATTTTAGAAATAAGTAATTTTATCTGGGATGTATGAGAATGGTAAAAAATTTGGTAGATGGTATATTTGGTAAAAGGAGGACGAAGTATAATAAAAAAGGTAATAATGAAAAAGTGATAATTCTAAATCTTTTAGTGGAGAGAAATTATATGATGAAGAAGGAGATGGCATTAAAACTTGTAAGTGGATTAATTTGGATGATAAATTTGATTGGAATAAATAAATAACATATAATGGTGAATTTATAAATGGGAACAAAGTTGGTAAATGGGATATTTGGTTTAATAAGGATAGAGGAGAAATTAAGTAATAAATAAAGACGTAAAAATATGGTATTATAGGAGCGTGATGAATAATAATATAGCTTAGGTGAGTCATAGAATAGGTGGGACTCGAAATTGAAAAGTTGGGTGGAAATATGGGATGGCTAGCAGTGGAATTCTTATGTATCATATGATGATGAATATATAAATGGTAAAAAAATTAGTAGATGGAATATCTGGTATAAGGAGAGAGTAGAAAATAAATAAAATAAAAAGATGTAATATTAGATAATGTGAGCATGCATAGTGAGGGAGGATCATATGAGGAAGGAGGTGCAAAGCTGTGTAATTGGGTGAAAAATTGGGATGGATATAAGTGGAATGCTTATGTAACTTATTGTGGTCAATATCTAAATGGGAATAAAGTTAGTAGATGGGATATTTGGTATAAGGAAAGAGGAGAAAATTAATAAAACAAAAAGATGTAAAAATATTATATAATTTGAATATGAATAGTGGTGGTGGATCATATGACGAAGAAGGTAAGAAGTTGGGCATTTGGGTGGAAATATGGGCAGACTATTAGTGGAATGCTTGTGTAACTTTTAATGGTTAATATATAAATGGAAATAAATTTGGTAGGTGGGATATTTGGCATAAATTTAATAAGATGTAAAATAATATTAATCTTTCAAATAATAATTTAGTGGTGGTGGATCATATGATGAAAAAGGTGAGAAAAGGGGTAATTGGGTGGAAATTTGGGATATGTATAATGGTCTAAATTAAGTAACTTATTCTGGAGATTATAAAAATGGCAAGAAAGTTGGGTTATGGTATATTTGGCATTAAGATCAGAAGATGTAAAAGATTGTATATGAAGGGAATATCAAATATAACATAGTGGTTGCGGATCATATGATAAAGAAAGTATGAAGTAAGGTAATTGGGTTGAATTATGGAATGGCTATTCGTGGAATGCTTATGTAACTTATAGTGGTTAATATAAAAATGATAATAGAGTTGGTAAATGGGATATTTGGTATCAAGTGTATGGGATTAATAATATGATGTAATAATATTATCTAAAGTTATACCTATTGAGTATTATAGTGGTAATGGATCGTATGATGAAGGAGGTCTGAAGTAAGGTAATTGGATGGAATTCTGTAAGAATTTTGGGAAGAAATTTGGAGGGACTGAATTTACCTTTAATGGAAATTATATGAAAGGAAAAAAAATTGGCTAATGGAATATATGGGATGTCAATAAAAAGATGTAAAAATTAAATAATAACATAGGGGTGGTGGATAGTATGATGAAGGAGGAGTAAAGTTTGGTAATTAGGTAGAAATATGGCAATGTGAAAATTGGTAATCTTATCTAATTTATAATGGGAAATATAAAAATGGTAATAGAGTTGGTTAATGGGATATTTGGTATCAAGTGAATGGGATTAATAATAAGATGTAAAAATATTTTCTAATGTGATATCGAATGAATATTATAGAGGAGGTGGTTAATATGATGAAAGAGGTGCAAAGTTTGGTAATTGGGTTGAAATGAAATTTGACATCTGGTATAATAGTTAATACACATTAAATGGGGAATATAAAAATGGTAAAAAGGTTGGTATATGGATTGAATTGAATAGAGGTAAGAATGAGAAACTTAGTGAGATCATATATGATTATTGAATAATATTCATATTTTAGTTAATTAACAATTATTCATTTTTATTTCAGTAGTTTTATTTATTTTATCTATTATACAATTTGTTATAATTTTATTGATGTTTCATATGTTTTTCTTTCAATAGAAAAATTAAAATCAGCTTTTTTTTATTTCTTAATGATGCATTTGAAAAAAATAATTGTATTCAAATTAAATACATGTAGTTTCAATTGCAATTAATAATCATTGTTTTTTCAATTTAATGTAAAAGCAATGAATTCTACTTTAATTATTCACTTTGAATAAGAAGATTTTTATATAAATTTTAGAAGTTTAACTTTTATTAAAAAAGCTCTTTATAAGGTGAGCTATTTGATTATTATGTTTTTATTCAGAATATTGGACCATTAGATTTTAGAAAAAGACAAGAATTTTTTTCTAAATTTTTAAGATTAAACTATTTCAACTGGGAGAAATGGCGTGTTACAAGAGTTTAATTTTTAAAGATATTAAATCTAAATCCGAGTCTATTTACAATGGCTCACATATAAAAATATTTTGGTTTTTTAGCAAATTTATTTTTAGAGGAAAGTTTTACATTTAAATTAATTGATAATTTCCTTATGTAGAAAGTTTCTCGTAAATAAATATGCTATAAAATTCTTTTCAGATAGTCTATCAGGTTAAGCAGTGATTATTTATAATGCTTCATTGTTAAACTCCAAGATCTAATTAAGTCCAACAAAACTCTTGTGCTTATCATTTACTTTTCAATTTTATTGCTACCATTGAATTTTTTCAAATTATCAAGACAAAAAAAAATAATTCCTTCCAACAGATTCTAGTTAATTTTGATATAAATTAGATTATCTGAAAAAGAGTGAGGGGTTATTAAAAATTAAATTCTTCCATATTTCATCAAATTCTTTTTAAAATATGCTAATTCATTGTCAAAATGTTTCTGAGATTTATGTTCCTACATTTTTAATATAAAACCTTACGGTTTCCTGAGTCTATGATCTTTAGTTCATTTGATTTTCACTCTTTTAGAGGCTATGAATCAAACAGTCTGTATTTATACTACTTTTTCTTGTGGCTATACATAAGATACTTAAATAAATTTAGTTATAAGCTTATAATTGATCTTCTTACAATAGCAAAAGCAATAGGTATTTTTGAAAATAGTACTACATCATTGATAAAATTCTAATGAGCATTTCAAATTTCCATAATTGATGCAACTGGAAAAAAACTGAAAATTAAGATAAGACAATTATTTTTTTTGTTATATTAGAAAAATTAATTGAGTAATTAAAAAAATAAAAGTAGTTAAAATTTTTTATAATATTCAATTAAAATCAAATATCTCTTGTTTTAGTCATATAAAAGTATTTCTGAATTACCTTCATACCTTAAGATAATTAGATTTTTAGTGTCTGAAAGAAATAGATTATTAAGGCTATTACCTCAAAAGTAAAATATTACACAATACTCAATTTTATACCATCAGCAACCCTCTTTCTCCAATAGCAGGAGTATATAGAATGTTCCATCTCCCTATGCCACTTGAATTAAAAAGAAGACAAAAAAGTATTAAGGAAAAAGTGGAAGCAAACAATTAATATTCAGGTGAGTAATCCAATTAAAAAATAAAGAAGATTTACTTTTGAGATTGTTTTGTTTTCTTATGATTTTCCTTACCCAATTATTATAATCAATAAGAAAATTATGAATTTCAAAAATATTTATTTAAAATTACATCTTTTCTTAATACAATAAATGGATATCAGGTTATTAAATGCAATAATATTCAAATGCTAATTTGAAATTCTCTGTTTAAATCTAAAACCATTAGAATTCTATATTATTTAAGAATTAAGACATGCAAATTTAGATTTGAATTTTCAATAATATATATAACCAACTTCATGTTAGATTCTAATCAATATTGTTCTATTCTCATTCACTAATTGTTCAAATTATTTGTGATAATTAAATAATAAGTAAGTTGATTTATTATAAATTAGGCAATTAAAGACTTAAAATATTATATGATTACATCCAATAAATTTAATATCAATGCATGCTTGTGTTTTCAAAGAGGAAGCCACAAAGGCTTAGTTAGATGCAGAAGGAAAGGTAAATTTAGCTATGTCAGATGGATTGAATTAGGAAAGATTAAAGTCATTCTTAGAAATAAGTATATCACACCTGCTGTTGAGAAGAAAGTGAAGAGTCTTTCTGATTCCAATTCATAAAAATTCTTGGATGTGATGATGGGATGTTTATCTAAAGATGATAGCTCTGTTGCAATATATGCTACTAGACCAGAGGATTATGATGTCTTTTCTTTCTACTTAGAACCACTCATTAGAGAATACCATAAAATAGAGGGTTAAACAAATAGAAGCATGATTGGAACTTCCAAGTTGGAGAATATGTTCTTACAAAAATAGATTCAAGATTAGAAAAAGTGTCAATGAGAGCAAGAGTGGCACGATATGTTAAAGGATGAAATTTTCCACCATCTATGGATAAAGATGAGAGAATTAAATTTGAGAATAAAGATGGTGAAAGAAATTGGCATTTTAGGAATTCCAGGAAAGTATCACAATTTGACTATCAAATTTAATAACAATGACAGTTCGATGAAGAAAAGTGTGATTTGATTTATATTGAATGAACTATGAGGATTAATGTATAATAATTATTAATTTATTTGATAATATATATTTTCTAATATCTTTCAAATATAGTCTCTAAATCAAATTAATTAAGATTAATCTTTAGTTTAGAAACTCTAATAAAATATATAGAACATATATTTAGGAGATTATTAATGTATGAATATGTTATTCTTAATGCTTATATATATCTCTCAAAAAATTAGCTGTACACTAGATTAAATTAAGATTAGTTTCTAATCGTATACAATGATGCTACCAAATTTCAAGAAAAAATTAAAATTGAGCAGAAAATAGATTTACTTTTTTTACACCCTCCTCTTATACTTTTACTTATAATAATTCATTTATTAACTTAATTTTATATAGTCACTAATGCATGTGGTTAGGTATTGCTAATTTTTATAGATATTAGACATATAACTTTCAAGGTTGGATCTTTTTCTTATATAGTAAAATTTTAATCTTATTAGAATTTAATTAAGGTATACTATTGACAAAATTATTTTGAATATTAAAGAAGAAGTAATTAAAATAATAAACATTCGAATTTAATAGTTATCCATCAATATATTGTAAAATACGAAAAAATAAAATATTATTATTGTTAAGAAAATGGCCAATACTTAATCATTTATATTTTAAAGTTTAGCATTTATTTATAATTCAAACAAAGGAACGAAAATACCTTAAAATTAAATTTTTGATTAATAAATTCTTAACAATAATAGTATAAAAATTTATTCATATCATATCATATGAGATTATAGTCAAATTATATTCCAAATAGTATTAAAGTTATAGAAAAAGTTATATCTTTCTAATAACAAATTTTTTATCTATCAATATATTCTTAAATTTTGATATCCAAATATCAAATGTTTTTATTTTTAAATTATTTCCACTCAGTAAATTAAAATAAGAATTCATAAAAAAATGATTTATATGATGTAATTGCTCATGATAATATGCAAATCATTTATATGTTATAAAAATTTAAACAAAAATATTGTCACCTTCAAAATATCTTGCTAATTTAAATTAAAATGATATGTGGAAAAATAAACATCAATAACAAGTATTTCATCAGAAGATTTTTATTTATGTATGGCTCATGAAATCTGAGATTATGCTAATCAATTAATAGAAGAAACTAAAATTAATAATCATACCAACTACTATGACTAATCAATAATAGGATTATGAATGAAAAAATTAATGTTAGCCACACTTCTCCTAAATTAAATCCTCTATCAAAAGTCACTACTGATTTAGCAATGATTTAGCGAATTCTGTATTGCTTCTCGTAATCAAAAGCTTAAATAACAAAGTTAAATGTAAAAAAATGAAAGATGATAAAAGAATTCATCATAGTTTTATTAAATCCTTTCTCATGAATTGAGAACTCCATTAAATAGTTGTTAATAAATGTTAAGTCTTATGAAAATTTAAGACTATGTTTTAGGAATAAATAGATATAGCTTAATGTTCTATTTCATTATTAATTAATCAAATTAATGGTGATATATTGGATTATGCTTCAATTTAGTCATATTAATTTTCATATCGTGTCACCTTATTTCTGAATACACGAAATAAGCGAAGTAATTTAACATTTGTAAAAATCTCAATGAAATAAAAAAAGATAGAATTAATTTTGCTGAAAATTTGAATGTTAAGCATGTTTAAATTGATGAGTAGAGGATTGTTTAATTATTAGTTAACATTTTAAATAATACCTTAATATTTACATAGAAAGGAGGTTATATTGGTTTGTAAATTTAAGAAGGTGATCATTTCGCATTATTTTTAAAGTTTTCGATAATGCAAATGGCATAGAAGAATCAACATTAAGTTGAACTTCAAATAGCATACATGATACTATTGAATTTGGAGCTGTATTGAAATCACATTAAGGTTCAAGATAATTAGGATTAGGGTTAAATATAGCTGCAAAATGGGTTTAAAGTTTAATAAAATCTTAATATAATCAAATAATAATAAGTTCCAGAAAAAACTAAGGAACTGTTGTTTATTTTATAAAGTGGAAATTTAATCAATAAATTCATTAAATTTGATGATAGCAAATTAATCAAGTCAGATAATTCTAGACTTGAAATTGATAGAGAATACTAAGATTAAAATGCAGAGACTATAAAAATACATCTAGATTAAATGATCTAGAAAAATAAACTGAAATCTTTTGGCCTATAAGTCCTTAATATTTTTTTGATAAATTTATAGATTTTAACTAATAAAGTAAAAAGATTCAATTTGTTCAAAATGATATTTCCATCTGCCAAAAATTTTGTCATGTATTAATTGTTCATGATATTTTATTGAATCAAATTGCATTAAAAATGATAAATGAAAATGTAAATAAAAAGTTATAAAATTGTTCTACATATAATATAATTTTTATGGATATTGAAATTCCAGGAAGAAATGGCTATTAAACTAGAAAATAAGTAAAATATAAATCATTATTAGATCCTTGAATTGGTTTCAAATAAGTAAATGACAGTAATTTGTCCAGCATAAGACACATAAAAAAATCTTATATAAGGTCAAAAGTTGGGAATCACTTCTTTTCTTCAAAAACATGTTAAAAAATGATTTGGAAATATTTGAGTTAAGACTTATATAATAGATATATTTTGGATTTAAATTCGGAGTTGATTTACTTAGTAATTTTGGAAAAGAATTAGGATATTTGATAATTCTTTATAATCTGGATGGTGAATCTAATAAAAAGGCCTAATTTTTGTTGATGAAATTAAACAAGAATAATATAATAATTATAAAAGTTGTATTAATTTTAAGAAAAGCTTATTTTAAGATTAAATTTAATCAATTTAATTAATTTTTATAATTTTCAGAGAATTCAAGGTACTAATAATTTTTCATAGTAACCTATTTGTACTAGTAATTCAAATTGAAGTGAATTTAAGAAAAAATCATTTTTTTTATCAAATCAAGCTAGAGTAAGAACTTTTGATAAAAATGAAGAAAATGGAAATCCATTATTTATTTTTGTATCCAAAAATGTGGTTGGTTCAATAATTCTTGTAAATTGTCTTGCTCAGATTTAACAGGACCTTATTTTAATAATGATACTAATTCTGCAGCAGAATTATCAACATGCATTAGTAATAGAATTGATGCTTGTATAACTAAATATGAATGTAGTAAACTTTCAGGAACAAAATCCACTTGTTTAAGTTATCCAGGCTATTGTACTAATTCATCGACAGCTACTGATACTACTCCTTGTATATAACGAAAGTTTTCAGATAATACAGAAGCAACTGATAATGCTACATGTGCTTCATTCTTACCTGAATGTATTAGTAATGGAAAAGGTTGTGTTGATTACACTACTCCATGTACATCAATGAAAGGAACTTAAGAAACATGTGATAAGATATTTGCTTATAAGACTGGATCTATTGATAACTTTACAAC